AACTCATTCACCTATACTAGTGTAACTCATTCACCTATACTAGTGTAACTCATTCACCTATACTAGTGTAACTCATTCACCTATACTAGTGTAACTCATTCACCTATACTAGTGTAACTAATTCACCTACACTAGTGTAACTAATTCACCTACACTAGTGTAACTCATTCACCTATACTAGTGTAACTCATTCACCTATACTAGTGTAACTAATTCACCTATACTAGTGTAACTCATTCACCTGTACTAGTGTAACTAATTCACCTATACTAGTGTAACTAATTCACCTATACTAGTGTAACTAATTCACCTATACTAGTGTAACTCATTCACCTGTACTAGTGTAACTAATTCACCTATACTAGTGTAACTAATTCACCTATACTAGTGTAACTCATTCACCTGTACTAGTGTAACTAATTCACCTATACTAGTGTAACTCATTCATCTATACCAGTGTAACTCATTCATCTATACTAGTGTAACTCATTTACCTATACTAGTGTAACTCATTCACCTATACTAGTGTAACTAATTCACCTATACTAGTGTAACTCATTCATCTATACCAGTGTAACTCATTCATCTATACTAGTGTAACTCATTCACCTATACTAGTGTAACTCATTCACCTATACTAGTGTAACTCATTCACCTATACTAGTGTAACTAATTCATCTATACTAGTGTAACTGATTCACCTATACTAGTGTTAACTATTGTTTATACTTACATTGTACATTTACAGAGAAACTGCAAGATGCACAATTTCCCGTAACGTCAGTGGCTGTGCACGTCACTATTGTCACTCCTGCCGGGAAACGTGATCTACTGTCGGGCGTGCAGCTGATGTGTAAGCCAGAACTGGAATCATCACTTGCAACGGGATCTGGCCATGATACCCTGGTCATGGGAGATCTTGCATCAATAATTATGTCATCAGGACATTGAATAGAAGGCGCCGTGTTGTCTGAAGCTGAGGAAGTACTCTGTTATTAGTAAATTACATCATAAGAACTTTGTTTTAGAACTTGGTCTCCAATCAGAGAGATCTTGGGATAAATAATATAGACAACAGAAATAATTCCCGATTCCCGAATTGATAGCATTTTAACCGTGAGTTTATTATTTCTGCGCAGGCGCATATTACGTGACCCGAGGTCAACAAACTGCAAGATAGGACAGATTTCGAATGTTCCAAAAACAGTACACCCTTCTTTCGTGTTTCCAACTTGCTGCCTAAACAACCCTCAAATAAATGTGTCATTATTTTTCAACTAACTCTTCTATCAGACTCTGAAAATGTGCACATTATTTTGCCTCATCAAGAAAAATGAACATGCAAATTATCTTTGGCTATAGCGTAATATTTTTGGGAATATTTTGCGAGTTGAACAACAATGTCATGGTCAGATTTATTTATTTATTTATTTATTTATTTATTTATTTATTTATTTATTTATTTATTTATTTATTTATTTATTTATTATTAAACATCCAGGTACCATCTATTTGTCAGTTTATTTTCTCTGCAAGTCAAATTCTTTTCAAGTAGTAATCCACGTTTCCCAGCTGTCTTATATAGTCTTTCTAGCTGCAGTTTTTGTACTAGCCCACATTCACTTCGCTATACTTTATAAACTGTTTGCCTGTTTATTGTTCCTTTTTTATATTGTTGTACTATCCGTGTCCGTTGCCAACCTAGCAACGCATGCGCAAAAACATCACAGCGCGCCCGTCGGTAGTTCAGAAATCAAGAATTAGATTAGAATGAATGAGTTCTTTGTTTCTGGTTAATGTATGTATGCTTTTGTCCGATCATTCCAGCATGCAACAAAGATCCATTTTCTTGTTATTTGTGTCAGAATATAGCCGGATCCAAACAACTGGGCAAGATGATTTATATGAATAAAACAATGGATATTATATTTTGTTGGCGCGCATTGAGTGGGCAACCACTTAAAGGCCCAATTCAATTGCACCGGGCAAGTTTAATGAATCTTATTAATCACTTGCATAGCCTGTGTTTACAGAAATTCGTAGTTTATTTACAAGCTAATAGCACTAATACTCATAAGCATCAAAATATATAACGGGTCAGTCAGACTTGCTTCTATAGAGCAAAGACCTGAGCTGCATAGGCATTCCGTAATGACAAGCTAATATGAAACGTGTTACAAAGTGATGTGGCATTGACCATTTCTTTGAATTACGTTTATTTCAACAATAGTGTTCACCTGAAATGCAGAATGACGTATCATATCCATTTGCCGCCCTCGTATCGTTGAACTACGTACGATGCCACAGCGATGACCACGATGCACGTATGCTTAAAATGCTGTCAATCTCACATAGTCACATACATCTACTTTGGCACGACATAATCGACCTGTAAATTCGAGAAAACGCATCTTTTCCTGGAGCTGTTTACGACAGCGTGACGTTCAAGGAAATAATCCCTATTGTTTAGAAGCGAATTTATAGTATACCTTAGCCTTTAAAAACAGTGACCCGCTGTTATAACGACAAAAGAAGAGAGTCGTATGGGCGTGTATTTTCATTTACTACGCGCCAACAAAATATACACTACATTGTCCATAGTAACACATTCGTACAAGTTTGTAAGAATTATTTGAATATTCCACCAATAACAATTGTTAAAACAATCTCTGTAACGATCAAGCGGTCTCGTTAATCTTTATTTTTTGAGTTATGTTTAACCTATATGTGGATACGAATTATTATTGCCAAAAATGTTAATGTATTGCGAATTTTGTGTGCGAATATAGCGTTCGAATAGAACACGTAACGACATCGACGCGTCCGTCGTTGCCGCTCGCCGGGGTTGTCGCATATTTCGTAAATTGACATTATTGCACAGATTCTCAATTAAAAACATTGTTATGATATTGTGCATCGTTTATGTGTGTATGATCGGTATTTATACTGTCAACTCGCGTGGCAATATAGTAATTGTTTTGTCGATTTTATGGTGCACCTCGCCCATCTAGGTGTATGTTCTGTGAAGCACGTTTTACCACCGGAATTTGAATATGAAATTTGAAACACGCACCACACAACGGGTAAATTCCAACCCCTCATAAGTATTAGTTGGGCGTGGTTTTGTCAAAGTCGGCGTGATTTCTAAAATATTGGCATGATCATTCTTGCAACTCGATGTTCGTAACACGAACAATTCAGCACTCCTGGTTTTACACATGCCCGGTATGCATGCTGACCATTATAATACATCATCTTACCTTGTTGATGGGTCCATGCTGATAGATCGATACCCTCAATGTAATTACACGTAACTAATCCACCACTAACATCTGGGATTAAAAAGACGTCACGCTGAACTTGATCTATGTCTGTATTATCACAGATTACACGGGCAAGTGAAGCTTTCTTTATCTCAGCTAGCTGTACACGAGAAAAGTAGTCACGTTTCTCATACCAAAATCTGTAACATATTTGAATAATATTTGTGAAAGTCACCGCAAATACATCACATGGCATTCAAAAAGTGTGAACAATCTGGGTTTGCTTAATTTAATTGTCAAATATCACAAGATATAATAATAAATATATACACAGATCAAAACTTGCTACCCTTAACCTGTAATGCTTAGATGTAAATTTAAGTGCTACAGGAATAGATACGTTTTATACTATACCTATCACCATCTCTTGTATTCTTGAATTGTTTAGACAATATACAGTTGAAGGTGGGACCCACCACACTGCCCTCTACCGGGTCCTCTGCCAAGGCTCCAATGTAAAGATCTATATTATTTACATGACCATAAAGACTTTCTAGTTTCGAAAGCACATCTTCGTTGGATATGAAACGCTTCAGTTGCTGAAATGTTCGGAATCTACGACCATGTTTGCACATTTCAACCCATTCTGTATAGCCAGGTAAGGCATGGTCACGACCTCTTTGAATATTAATGGACATCAGATCCAATGCAATTGTGTTGGAAAGTGCAAATAAGCGTTCAGTCATCTCATCTGTCATCATTTCGCCAGGATGGAGGTCCTTGGCAGCTGTGGCAAAAGATCCTCTGATAATTGGGTCTATACCACCTTGTTCAACGATTCTCCAAGGTTGAAAAAAAGCTAGATGAAGTAGAAGATGACCATCTGGGATTTCTGTGAAATTTGCATCGATTCTGGTAAGAATTGGTTTCACTGTACCATGACCAAATCTAAATGCTGCCGTGGAAAACACATTAGTTACAGCAGCATTTGTGCGTGCATCATACCCTTTGTATGGACCTATAGTACCCATACCAACGTTACCGAGAATTTTTGGCAAATAGTGATCATATGTAATATGCTGTAATGTAGCACCCACGATTTTACGTGCTTCCTGATATAGTTGTTCATCGTCCCAGTGTGGATTGATCTGTGATAAGATATTACTGATGCGATTGTGTTCACGCAGAAAGAGGGTGTGCATAGAAGCAAGACCAATCTGTTCATTGGTTCGAACATCACCAGCGAGAAAGCATGGCACTTCATTCATGCTATCGTCACTCAGACATGCCATTGGAGAATTAGGGTCAAAAGGCAGCAGTGGTCGTCCAGTTGCTGCCTCATTATCTCCAACTCTCAGGCCCCCTTTACCATCAAAAGCTCTCAAATTGTCAGCCTTGTCCTGTTCGCTTCCATAAACTTGTGATGCATCAATATAGGATGTGATTGCGTTTGTCTGTTCTCTTGGGTGTTCAAGACTGCCTGTTCCGCACACTGCACTGGATCGGATAAATTCAATACATTCTGCATCGTGGATGCGTGGATCATCATCAGGGACA